CACCAGCTCCCTAGATACCATAGCTTCCCACCATACCTGGGAAGATCTCCCGAGTCCTTACCCTGATGGACAAGTGTCCTCAGAAACCTGAATGGCAAACTTCACCTCCTCCTTCTCCCCTAAGCCCCTGAATCTCAGTTTAGTGAACTCTTTTTTTTAATTTTTTTGCTTTTTGGGTCACACCCGGTGATGCTCAGGGTTTACTCTTGGCTCTCCACTCAGGAATCACTCCTGGCAATGCTCGGGAGACCCTATGGGATGCTGGGGATGGAACCTGGGTCAGCCGCATGCTATTCTATTGCTCTGCCCCCCCTGCAAGTTTAGTGAATTTTGGGGGGGGTCACACCCAGTGATGCTTAGGGGTTACTCCTGGTTCTGCACTCAGGAATTACTCCTGGCAGTGCTTGGGGGAGCATATGGAATGCCGGGGATTGAACCTGGGTTGGCTGCATGCAAGGCAAATGCCCTATCCGCTGTACTATCGCTCCAGTCCCCTAGTTTAATGAACTCTTTTGCACCTTGGGGCCAGGCACTCTCTCAGCTTGGTGCCTTTCCACCTGCTGCTCCCGTCAAGGTGATTCTGAATTAAATGAAAGATCCTTTATCTCCTGAGTAACTTTAAAGGCAACTTTTTTTACAGAGTAATACATAGGACATGAAAGAACTGTCATCTATCCTAAGAAACGAAGGGTTGACTTAATTTGAAGCCCCAGATTATTCTTTCCTTATTTCTATTTGAACAAGACTACATGGCAAGCTACCAAGAGTATCTCGCCTGCACGGCAAAGCCTAGCAAGCTACCTGTGACGTATTCAATATGCCAAACACAGTAACAACAAGTCTCACAATGGAGACGTTACTGGGCCCGCTCAAGCAAATCGATGAACAACAGGAGGACAGTGACAGTGACATGGACGGTTACATCCCAGAGACTAAAGGAATTTGCATTTCAGCCATTTGCATTTTTCTATGAATTTAGTTTGCAAGGTCACAAAATAAATTCAAATCACATCCACACACAGCAACAACAATAACAACCCAACAAAAACAGCGACACAAGCTAATCCAGCTTGGTTTTCATGTGCCGAGCTCTTTTTTTTTTTTTCATTTTTATTTATTTTTTTACAGTTGTAGATTTACAATTTTTTTTGTGCTTGGGTTTCAATTATACAATGATCAGATACCCATCCCTCCACCAGTGCCCGTTTTTCACCACCATGGATAATATCCCTCCCACCCCCATCCCCCCATCCCCCCTGTCTCTGTGGCAGGGCAATCCCCTGTGTTCTCTCTCTCCTTTTGGGTGTTGTGGTCTGCAAAAGAGGCATTGAGTGGCAAACATGTTCAGTCCATAGTCTACTTTCGACATGCATCTCCCCTCCTGGGAGGATCCTCCAAACATCCTTTATTTGGTGCTCCCTTCTCTATCTGAGCTGCCCTTTCCTCTAGAATGCCCGGCTGGCCACTAAGCTATGGAGTAATCCTCCTGGTGCTGATCTCAGCTATTCTTGGGTATTAATCTCATACTTTGTTACTTTATATCCCCCAGATGAATGCAATCTTTCTATGTCTATCCCTCTCTTTCTGACTCATTTCGCTTAGCATGATGCCGAGCTCTTTTATAATCACACTGAACCATTTTTTACCATCATTCCAACTCATATGAAACCACACTTTATGAAACTCAGTGTTTTCAGTGACTTTTTGCAAGTTTCTCTTTACAAGACTAAAGTGTTTTACCACAGTAAGCCACACTTTGCAGCCACAGGGACAGCAGAATACAGGCTGATGGCCTCTGGCTGACTTCCTCCAAATCATTGGGAAATGCAAGTACGTTGCAGGGTTATGCATCTTTGGCCAATTCTGTCCTAAGGCACGTTAGCTGTGTATAGTGCTGACAGGAAATTAGGAGAGTTGGGAGGCCAGAACTGGTGAAAATGGGTAGGCTTGAAGCTAACTCAGAAGGGAACTTCACCGAAAAAGAAGAATGAACATTATAGACATTTGTAACATTTATTTTAATGCTGACAGTTATCGAACCTAGGGTCTTAGATATGCAAAGCATTTGCTTTCCACTGAGTCACTTTTCACACGCTAAGAAATTTTTGTTTTGTTTCTTTTTGGGTCACACCCGGCAATGCACAGGGGTTACTCCTGGTTCATGAATTACTCCTGGTAGTGCTGGGGGACCATATGGGATGCTGGGAATTGAACCCGGGTCGGGCTACATGCAAGGCAAACGCCCTATTCACTGTGCTATCACTCCAGACCCCCTAAGAAATTTTTAGAGAGAACAAAAATTAAGCAGTAATGTCATAGAAGGCTTGATTTTTTTGACAAAATTGGCTGAACAAGGCTTCAAAGAAGTACTTTCCTCTTTAATTCATTAGAGAAAGGACTGAGGTGGAAAACTTCCTCTAACACATTAGATTTTTTTGGTGGTTGTTACATGAGCAGAATTGGATTTCCAGACCTAAAGGGGTTCGGAGTATCATGGTCATGGTCCTCCCGTTGTTCATCGATTTGCTCGAGCGGGCCCAGTAGCATCTCCATCGTGAGACTTTGTTGTTACTGTGTTTGGCATATCGAATACATCATGGGTAGCTTGCCAGGCTCTGCCGTGCAGGCGAGATATGCCCTAAATATTTCAATCTGGAGGAATGATCCTTTGTAGCTGGAGGGAACTGAGAGGAAGTATGCCTGCCTTCTCTCCTCACCTCGAACTGGAACAGAACTGCTTGTCCTTGAGAATTCCAGAGCAGCAGGGTAGGAGCAAACTGATCACTGGAGGTGAGGCAGCACCAAGGGTCTATACAAGTCACCTGGACTCCTCCCAGTAGCTGCCCCTTCTGTAGACCTTCCCACTGTCTGCGCCCCCCAAAGCCTGAATGAAGCTCCTTTCATCTATCTTATTTCCACCGACATTTGGTTTTTAGGGCACACATAAGCCAAAGTTCTTTGGGGAGCAGGGAGGGGGGACACCTAGTGAAACTCAGGAATTATTCTTGGCAATGTGTGGGGGACCATTTGGGATGCTGGGGATTGAACTGGGTCGACCGTGTGTAAGGCAAACACCCTACCCACTGTACTCTGGTGCCCAAACATCAAGGTCTTTAACACACTTTGAATTTCCAGCCCCTACATAAAACACTGAGTTTCTCCTGCTTGTGTTGATAACTGCTTTGATCTTGTGCCTTGCTCTCTTGTCAGTTTAACTGTCAGGATCTCAGCTAGAGAGCCGTGGGGGCGTTGAGGCTCTTCTCTATAGAGACCTAACACACATTTGCATCACCTGTGCTTGAGAACATACAGTCCCCCACCCCACATCAGCAACCGAAAGTCACAGTCCAATAGTAGTGAAGGTCAAGGATAAAGTTCAAGCACAGGTTTCACACGTAGGAGGCCCTGAGTTCTTCAGTACCATAAAAAAAAGTTTATATACAATGGAGAACTTATAGGAAGAAAACAACAATGAAAAAGTACAGAAATTTGGTTAAGCCAGAAGGGTCAGAAAAGAGAAATTCCGTAAGATGAATTGTGGGGCAACTTTCCAGACTCAAGGGGAAAACGACAAAGCTCTAGTTAGCCCAATGTTTCCAAAAGTGAGTGATAATGTCTTGCAGAAGGTCTGGAAAGATGGGGACAGGGAGGGGGCAATTTCTGTTTAAAGAAGGTAAGGGGGTGCTGAGTCATAGTTTTGAAAGGGGCTCAGTTGGTCAAATCTATCTGGGAGGGTCTGGTTACCCAATGGCCTCGCCGATGGGTGTGATCCACTTAGCCCCGCGCCTCCAGAAACATGTTCCTCAGAAGGCAAACCTGAAGAAGCCTCGAACTGTTGTAGGAAGAAAATCTGAGTGCTATTTAAGTGGCTGTGGGGCTCGGACCTGTTTATTCCTCTGTAAAGTGAACAGCAGAACACTCTTTTCTAGAGCTTGCGAGAAGGATCCAGTGAGGTGATCGATCTGCAAGTCATTCTCCACTCTACGTGTGACAATAGGTTGAGGCAACTCCAGAGCAATGCTGGGGTGTGGGTTGCATCCTGCAGGTCCTGTGTGAGTTGCTCTGAGGTGGGCCTTTGAACACATCTGTGTGTGTTCAAAGCTCCCCAGGGAGGGGTTAGAGGGATACTACCGTGGGGAGGGCGCTTGACTTGTACACATCCAACCCAGGTTTGATCCCTGGTACCCATATGGTCCCCGAGCCCTGCCAGGAGTGATCCCTGAGGACAGAGCCAGGAGTAAGCCCCGAGCACTGCGGGGGTGGCCCCCAAACAAAAAAAACCCACCAAAGCTCCCCAGGGAATTCTAGTATGCAGCAGGTGCTTCAAAGCACAGACCTATTGCTAAAGCAGGGCTCTGCCACCCATCCTGAAGGGGCTCACCTGGGCATCGTGCCAAGCGGCAGAGCAGGATTCGTGGGGTAAGGCCCGAGGACCGACATTTCTACCAGACCCCAAGATCATACTGAGTTGCTCGCAGCTACACCCTGAGCTTGGCAGAGTACTCAGTGACCACAAGGCGCAATAGAAATGATCACACCTCTTCCCAAATGACGAACGATTAATGACTGTGGTGGGCGCTCTCCTTTCTTTTGCTTTGATTGCCTTAAGGGTGGCCAGTAAGGTCAGGGACGTGGGTCAACAATAGAGTCTCCACCTTGCAGGCGTGAGGCATTGGGTTCGAGTCCTTGAACTGCCAAGAAGAAAATATGTTTCAAACATGGGGCTAAGAGTTGGTGTGCAGCGGCCAAAGCATCTGTCTTGCAAATGCGAGGCTGTGAGTTCGATCCCCAGGGCTCCTGCGTGCATGGAGCACTTTCCTATCTGTGATGTTTGGCGGTGCAAGAGACTTCCGGCCACACCACCGTCAGGGGTGTACAAGCACAAGCACCGCAGTTAAAGAAGTGTGACCCTGTTGAGCATCGTGGCCCAGTGCGTGAGACCCCGCACTGGGAAGGGAAGGGAAGTGGGCAGCTCCTAAGTCCGAGCGTGAAAGGGTGGCAGACATGCAAGTGGTCAGCCTGGTTCCCTGCGGCCAAGAGCACCTTCGCTCACAAGCACACCCACTTGCTATGATACCACTGCTCCCCGCATTCATTGCAGATGACATAGGTCATCATTTCTTCATCGGGGTTGGCATTCCGCACCCAGCTGGGAAGGAAGAGTGCCCCTCGGGCTATCACAGTGACCTTGCAGTTGAACTGCTCGCAGCGCCGGCATTTGATCTTCCCGGTCTGGGTGCCCGCCCCGACTTGGGGCAGGGCATGCTCCTGGATGCCGGCCTCGGTGTAGGAGGCACGCAGCTGCTGCAGCTCCTGGTGTGCCATCTCCAGGCTGCTCATGTCGGCGAACGCTTTGGGAGACGTCGTCCCAGAGAGCAGGTTGCGCTGTAAGTGCGAGTTCTTGGGGTTCTTCAGATTGGCCACTTTGCTTCGGATGCAAGCTTTATACTTTCGGAGGTTCTTCGAATGCCGGGAGAAAATGTGCTCTTCGATTTCTTGCGCGAAGGGGTGCCACCCGGCAGCCGGGGGCTGGACTGCCGAAGAACTTGCTAACGCCGTATAGAGAAGGTCTGTGCATTTAGTTCTCACAGCCACTGTGAGGTCCGGCAACTCACTACCTTCCTGGTCCATGGACAGGGACTCACCAGCCTGTGGCTGCTCTAGCTTAGGCTGCCTTTGGCCAAGACTGTTACCAGGCGTGACTGTCTCAACAGCTTTGGCCAGAGCAACTGGCTGGGCTGACGGCAGACAATCAGAACAGGAGACGCCCTGCAGCCCCTCCTGCCTGGGCTCTGGAGAAAGTGCTGAATTCTCCTCTTTATTTCCCTCTGGACACAACAGTTTGGGGCTACGCCGTGGTTTGTAAAGCGCTTTCCATTCCGCCAGCAGACACTTGGCTTTCTTCTTCCAGGCCGTCGAGGGGCAGCTTTTGAGGACTCTGTACACAGCCCTGACCACATGTGTCTCCTGGAGGTGCTCCTTGGTCATGTGAACTGTTTGTAGCTCAGTCAGCGGGGTGCCAAGATCCTCAAAATTCCCTTTAGCCATGAGCTGCTCGATCAGGGAAGCTCTGGCGGCTATCTGGTCCTTGTCAGACATTTTCACAGCTGTGAAGAAAAGAGATGTTTGGGTTTGTTTCTCCTTTCTCTTAATTTGGCGCACCGGGCAGTGCATGGGGGCTCTTCCTGGCTCAGTGGTTCACGCCTGGCCATGGTCATGGAATCAGGCGTTTCTGGAGGCCTCCCGCCTGCAAAGCCTGTGCTCCAGCCCTTGGCGCCATCTCCCCAGACCGGTTTCTGCTTTCTTAAGCTGGTGTTTGCAGACACAGCTTCCTGAAAGCACTACACTTTCTTACCTGCGTGGTGTTTTCTGCAACGGTGTTCTGATAAGCTGTGTGAAGTGCTAGGAAAGGAGATCAGGGGCTGGGAAGAGAGTTCAAGTGGCCAGAGTAAAGGGTCTCTGGTTGGATCCACAATACTGCCCTGCGTCCGGAGCACCTCCAGGTGTGACCTCGGTACTGCTGGGGAAACCTCTCCTAAGAGAAAAGGAAATGCCATCAGTAAGGGGTACAACATCCTTTCAGAAGTCTGGGTTTCAGTGGTTTTAAAGACAAGTGGGCCCACAGACAGCTTCTGCAGGAGCCGTAGCTTCAAAGAAATTTGCCCAGAGCTGTGTACTAATAGTTTCCACCTCTCATCATGCAGCGTTTCAGCTCCAGACCAGCCCTCTCCTCTGGGTCACACCAGGAGTGAGATTGGGTCGCACCTGCCACCATGGGGATGGCAGAACCACGTGGACTCCTTTCCCCTCAGATTTACCTCAATGCCTGCTCTACCTGCAGATTCTGGCATCTTTAAGTGGCCCATCTGCACAGATAAAAGGAGACACGGGGAGGCTGGAGCGATAGCACAGCGGGTAGGGCATTTGCCTTGCACGCGACCCATCCAGGTTTGATTCCCAGCATCCCATAGGGTCCCCTGAGCATCACCAGGAGTAATTCCTGAGTGCAGAGCCAGGAGTAACCCCTGTGCATCGCCAGATGTGACCCCAAAAGAAAAAAAAAAGGAGACACCAGGCCGAAAGAGGAGGCTAGGGTTGGGGGGCATATAAAGAAATCAGAAAATAGCAGGTGCTGGGAGGAGTCGGGTCTGAAGCTCCCCCAAAGCTAACAGGCATGGCATGGCCGCTTGAGTCTTCTAAAACCTGGGAGGTTGCTGACTTTGCACTCACTGGTCCCTGATTGGCTCCAGGAAATTTATCTCTGTTCTCTCCATTTGGGGAAGTCACTTTTGTTGTGGAGGCCTTGGGGGACCCTGCAGGGGCACTGGGGTCAGACCCAGGGTTTCACACGTTAGGCCTGTGCCCAGTTACCTGTGTCACAACTCAGCACTTTTTCTTGTTTTCACTTTTAAATGTAAAAATTGGCCTGGTGGGGGCTGGAGAGATAGCACAGTGGGCAGGGCGTTTGCCTTGCACGCGGCCGACCCAGGTTTGATTCCCAGCATCCCATAGGGTCCCCCGAGCACTGCCAGGAGGCATTCCTGAGTGCAGAGTAAGGAGTAAGCCCTGAGCATTGCCGGGTATGACCCAAAAAGCAAAAAAAAAAATTCCCTGGCAGTTGTGCGTGTGTGTGCGTGTGCGCATGCGTGTGTGCAGTTGTGAATCTTATCCAGTGCAGACAAATGTTTACTTTGTCTAGCTGTTCCTCTAGTTCGATAGGTAACTTTGCCCTTATAGAGCCCAAGAGTCTCTATAAGCCCAGCTGGTCTAACTCTGAACATAAGTATCTGGAAGACTGGGACTCTTGTTTTCCCAAAACTCATGGACTCCTAGGTTAGAACACCTGGTTGTACAACTGAACACTCACAGGCCAGTAACACTCAGGTGGTTCCAGACAGGACTGCCACAAAATATCATGTCTCTTAGTGATTCTGCATCTCCCAATTCGCTTTAAGAAATAAGTGATGTGGAAACTGTATAGGCAAGAATTTCCTGTCAACTAAGAAGAAGCTGGAAGATCCAAGTGGTTGAAAAATGATAGTACATCCTTAAGAAGAAAGCCTTTAAAACTATGTACTTGGGGAGTATCAAATGGCATATCCTAGCATAACATGGATGAAAAAAGCCAAGATGTAGAACTATGTAGCTAAAAGATGAAACAGAGTTACCACATAAGCCAGCATATCTACCCCTGAGAAATAAAGACATCTGTTTGTACAAAAAAATTACACACAGATGTTTATAGCAAATTTTTTGGTGCAACTTTTTATACCAGACAAAAGTGGAAGTATCCCAATGGCTAGCCTGCCACACATCTAAAAAAAAGTGGTATATCCATACATTGGAATGTTATTTTACAATAAAATGAACTAAATTCTGATTCATGGTACAATACTGGACAAACTTTGCAAACACTCTGCTGAGGCCAAGAAGCCAGACATATTTGATTCCATTTATTCAAGATGTCCAGAAAGGCAAATCTAGAGAGGTTGAAAGTACATTACACCTTTGGAGTGGGGAGAAAGCTGTGGGGTAGAGTGGAAAGGGGAGTGGCTGTTACTGGGCCAGAGGTGGTTTGCTAGGAGGTGAAAACCTACTTAAGCTGTGGTGATAAGTTGTACAACTGTAAACAGACTGAAAACCACCTATCAGCTGCAAAGCATGAAACTTGTTATCCACATAAAGGTGCTACTTTATTTATTGATACAGCAACTAAGGTTCGTGCCTAGCAAGTACCAGACCCGGGTTCAATTCAATTCATGAATGCCTGGAGGCCCCTAGCACTGATGAGGAGGCCCAGGGATTCCTGGCACTACAGGGTCCACACAAGCAGTATCACCTTCTCTGGCCCCGGCCCTGGACCAACCCTCTGCTTGGCTGAAAATCATCGGTGGAGCCCCAAGACCTCCTGATCACTGCTTGTCCCCCTTTCCCCCCAAAAAACCCAGAGATCCTGACCCAAGTTTTATTTTAAAAGCATGCATAAGGGCCAGAGCAATAGTACAGCGGGTAGGGCGTTTGCCTTGCATGTGGCTGACCCAGGTTCAATCCCCAGCATCCCATACGGTCCCCCGAGCACCATCAGGAACAATTCCTGAGTGTAGAGCCAGGAGTAACCCCTGAGCATCGCTGGGTGTGACCCAAAAAGCAAAAAAAAAGGCTGAAAAAAGGTACACAAAGTTTGAAATGGGCCGATGGAGATCAGCATTGGAGCACATGCCTTGCATGGGTGAAGCCCCGGGTTCAATGACCCAGCACCATAAGAAAACAACAACACTCGCAAAATTGAAACAGCGGCATTTTCCTACTGACAACATTTGAGGTGAGGTTTTCTTGGCTCTTTTCTGTGATGACTGTGTATTCTTCCCACAATCAGGGCAGTTATGTGTCTCCTATCATTTGATGACATGTGATGCAAAGTTCTACCCCTCCTGGCTGCCTCTCCCTTCTCTTGGGTGCTCTTACATGGGGCAGTCCCCATTTCCTCCTGAGTTGATGGCTGAAGTGGACATGCTGACTCTCCTGCTGAAGTCCAGTGTGGACATCATTTTTTCCCCTCCAGGGAGCTGCGTAGGCGTGTTTTAAGGCCTTTGGTCACTCAGTGGATCACCAACTCCAGTCTAAAGTGACTGGTTCTTGTAAGACTGAGAATTGCCATCATTGGCCTTCTAAGATGGCTGCATTGAAGGAAAGGAGAAAAAAGCCTTCAAAGCTCAAAGGCTGTGGAAACGAAGGGCAGAGGGAGACAGCACAGCAAAGTCTTAGAAATACCTGTGCCCACTCCAGGGTCAAACCTGGCTCTCAGAAAAAAATTGCCTGAAGTCTTGGGGCCTGAAAGCAAACAAGCAGCGAGCTGACAATGACAGGGTTTCCAGCTGCACAGTGTGTCTGGGTCCCCCAGGCCCTGCCTGCCAGTTCTGTCCATGTAGGTTGCATTCCACCTTCACTGGACATTGCTCTCTGCGGCAGGCAGCTGGCGGGGTGAACGAGACCGGAAGGCATGCCCTTGAGGACGTTGGGCAATGTTTAACTCAGGGCCGAGCTTCTGAGCGAGCGGTCAGCGTTTCAAGGGGATTTGGAAGGGAACCCTCACTTGAACCTCAGGACTGCAGAGTGTCAGAGAGCCCTCGTTTGCCTTATCAGCAAACAATTTTACTCATTCCCAGAGAGCTGGCGTGGTTTGCGTTTGCACACAGGAGCGCCGTGGGCTCCATCTCAGAGCCTCTTTTATGGAGCTTTCTTCCAGATGCTGACTCGGAACTCTCCCTTGAGCGAGTCACTCAGACTAGGGAAGTGTGTGTCAGGCCTTTCTGAGTCACTTGGGTAGGTTGTGCTAAGGACGTTCGCACCAGGATGCAAGCGACAGTTTCCATCTTGCAAGACCACCTCTGTCCCTGTTTCGATAATGTCCACCCTTCAGATCCTTTGGCGATCTTTGGCCTAGGTGGAATCATTCGGCCTTGGTCCTCTGTGACTGGCTTCTTGTTCTCAAGATTCTTTGTGGCAGATCAGAACCTCTTTGCCCTGGAAGGCTGAATAGTATTCCTCGAACTGAGCTGTTTATCCATTCTTTCAGCACTGAATATTCAATGCGTTCCCTCTTGGCTACGGTAAATACTGGGCTTTGAACACAATGGTACAAATATCGCTTCGAGATCCTTCCTGCCTTCAGTTCTTTTTGGCAGAAAGCCAGAAATGGGATGGACACTGCATATGGGAACATTAGATGTGAGTTTCAGAGGAATCACCATTTTGTTTTCCATCTACTCTTGTATTTTATCTTGGAGGGGGAGCTCCCAAGTTGTGCTCAGGAGGTCTGGGGGCCCCAGTGGTGATTCTTGGCTAACCAGGCCATTGCTTTAGGATAAGGGCCCGAGGATGTGATATTGCTTAGGCCCTGCAGAGCTGGGGAACACCCCTGCCATGTCAGTGATACTTGGGTCCTCCAGGGCTACACCTTGGCAATGCTCAGGCCAATGTGATGCTAGGAACCAAACCCAGGTCGGGTGCTTGTCAAGCATGTACTGCTGGTCAATGAACCCTGGCACAGAGTACACTGTACTCCCAACTCTGGCCCTGTATCTTAAAGAGCATTTAAC